CCCAAACTCCCGACATGTGTTGTGTTCATATTAAAGATTATGTTAAAAAAAACTATTTAGTTCTAACATTTCATATAATGCCTGCAAACTCAACATATACTAAAGCAGGGTTGGCAAAAAAACCCAACTTGAAAAAACCCAACCCAAAAAAACCCAACCCAAAAAAACCCTAAAAAACCCACCTTAAAAAAACCCAATAAAACCCAAAAAAACCCAAAATATATTTGGGTTTTTTTAAAAATGACCTATTTTACAACTGATAACTCTGATTTTAACACTTATAAATGCTTTATTATCACCAAGTGCAACCTTTATACTGTAATTACTCTTGTAAACACTGTATTTATATACATAATGGTCTTTAGGATATACCCAAAATCGATCAATCTGTTTTTGTAGCAAGTTGGCTGTTTATTATTTTTTTTAAACATTTAGCAAGTTATTATAAATGTTATTGAAATATGTATTAAAACATTAAATTAGTTAAATACTTATAAAGGAAATAAAAATCATTCTATTAACTAAATTTCAAGACATTACTAGTTAATTAGTATCTTTATTCTCCTCTCGAATGTCTGTATTCTTTTATAATGGTATTTGATTTTTTATTTTTTAAAGCTTATGTTGTTAACTGCAAAAAAAAAAAAAAAATACAAAGCCACAAGCAAAATACTATATATAAAAATTAAACTTTATTTACAGTTTAGAAATGGAAAGTTGTCAGGCAAAAAAAATGCTACAGTTTACTAGATTTGTCCTTCAGTGCATACAACTTTAAAACTTAAAAAAAAATTAAGTTAGTGCAAGCAAGCTTGCAACATGTTTGCTCATTCAATGAGAGAACATGTTGAAAACTTGTATGCATTTCACAAAGACAAGATTTGTCGGTAAAAATGACACTCGTGCTCATCTGTCTTTTGAATATTTAACAGGTTTTGAACATTTTGCATCAGCTACAAGTTTACAACATGTACCACCAACAGGGGTGACTATGAACAGCGGGTTGAAAATTAACATCAGTATCAAGTTGCGAAAAGGTGAAGAAACACACACAATAGAGCTATATAATGTGTTACTTTGATTCAGTTTGCAATTTGCATTGCAAAACTGAGCCGGTAAAACATCTTCAAGGAAAAAAAAAACTTGGTGGCGAAGACACTGTAATGGTTCTTTACAAATTTACTTTATATATATTTAGAAACAAAGTTTAGGCAAAAATCCATTTTTTGCCAGTCCAGTTGATCAGGCCGATAACTTTTCCAAGAAGCTAGACAGTATAATGTTCTGATAAAAAAAAATGTAGTGATTAGGCTAGCAGTTTTCTTCTATGATACAAAAATGTTTAAAAAGTGTTCATAGTCATCCTGATTGATAATAACTTATAAGGTTGCAACATCATGTTGCAAACTTGTTGATTACATGTTGTAAACTTGTGCAAAGTAGTTTTTGAACATGTTAGTAAAAAAAGACTAGTTTGCAACATTTATATTGTCTTACCAACTTTGAATAACTCAATTGTCATAATTTTTACACTGATTTTTTTTTGGTCAAAGATGTTCTGAACATGTTTTTAATTTAGAGCAATTAATTAACATCATTTATAGTTGATGGAGTCCCTTTTTGCACTACAGGTAAAATGTGCTAGTAGACTAGTAGTAAAACATTTGGCTCGCAACCAGAAGGTTGGGGTTCAAATTACTTCTGCTGAAATTACTGTCTCAATCTATTTCTCCACACAGCGCCTTTGTTTAAAAATTTTAGTTGTTTATGTTGTTTGTTAGTAAAAATGGTAATGTTAAGGATTGAGACAAAATATTTTAAAAAAATGAGTTGCTCCCTTGACTGAAATGGTCATTGGAGCAATAGGGAGGTGAATTTATGAAGTTAAAAAAAAAAATTATTGTACTCATACAATTATAAAAATTTGGTATTTTGATCGATTTTTAAAATAACCCAAAAAACCCATAAAACCCAAAAAAACCCAATAAAACCCAAAAAAACCCATTTGGGTTGGGTTTTTTCCAACCCTGTACTTAAGACACTTACACTTACAGGCGTTTGTACGTAACGCTATACAAATGCAACTAAGAAGATCCAAGTCCACTAAAACATAGTCATAAAAAGAAAAAGTTAATTTTTATGATTGTGATTACAAACTAAAGAATAATATTAAACGCTAACAATTAAGCGAAAAAAAACTGTGTGCATTGACGTCGGTTTGTGGCAAAATAAACTTTTATGTGTCAAGTTTCTTTTGCATTTATGTTACATTTTTTGATTGATTTTAATTTAATTCCATACAAATGCATAAAAATATATAAAACTGGTACAGATGTATCATTTCACGGATAAGAGATTGTAAAAATAAAAATATATTCCATATATCTTTAATAGAAGAAGTTTTTTTAAAAAATTTAAATAAAACCTTTTTTCTAGTTTGTTTTTCTAGTTTTTTGCCACTAAGTGATGTCACAAGGCAAAAAATTGTTGTTCAACGGTTTGCGAAAAAGCTTTGATTACCATTTTTAATGGTCTAAGAATCAGATGACGTAATTTTAGCAATCGGAAATTATCAAGAGAGGGGCAAATCTAAAATTGAAGTTTTAAATATTCCACTTGGATGAGACAATATGTTTTGTACTTTTTCAATCTTGTCATTTTTTTAAAATATAGTAACATACCTACAAAAAATCAAAACATATCAGCTTGATCAAGAAAAAAAAAGACTTTTAATTATTAGAAAAGTTTACTTATATTACATACTATCCTGAATAAAACATTATATAATTCTATATAAAATATATATAAACAAATAACATAATTATATATATATATAATTTAGTAAAAACACTTATCTAATTTTTAGTGCTTTTTAACAGCTTGTTTCATTATCAGTAGGTTCATCAGGAAGCGATATATATATATATATATATATATATATATATATATATATATATATATATATATATATATATATATATATATATATATATATTGTTTATATAGGGATGGTTAAGCGCAACAAAGTTTAAAAAAAAATTAGTTTATATTAAAGTTAAAAAATAATTTATATAATTTTTCTTTGCAAACACCAATACACTATACTTAAAGTTTTTATGTGCACTGAACTGCAATTACTTTTAATTTTTATGTTTTAGTGGCTTTTGTTAAGAGCTTTTAAATTTAGCATCAAGTTATCTCATTTCAACATATTTGTTGTATTACCCATACTACAGCCGTTTTTTAAAACGTCTGAAGGTAAAAAAAAATCAAATTTGACTTTTTTACAAAATAAGCTAGTTTAGATGTCTACAAATGTTATTGAATATGTATTTTTAAAGCAGGGGTGTGAAGTCGTAAAAAAAAAGTAATGACTCTGACTCCAGTTGTTGAAATTTTTTGAGTACAACTCCGACTCCAACTCCTACTCCTACTCCAAAGAAAAATTTTTAAAAAATTCTTTGAATTCTTTAAAAAATATTGCCTAGTAAATTGAAATTTTTTTTTTTGAAACATTTATGAAACATTCTTTGAGGTTTAGTATGAACATAAGGTTAATTGAATGTTTTGTACATGCACATGCAATACCAAGAAATTTTACTATCGGAGTCCCAGTCGTGATATTTTTTAGCGACTCCGACTCCGGTAAAATTGTCGCAACTCCGACTCCAACTCCACAGCCCTGTTTTAAAGAGTTCTGAAAAAACTCATAAAAATTATTCATTTCAAAAAACGTTTTACATAGAGTATCTCTTAACAATTTTTTTTTAATTGCTTTTTACTTGAAATACGTAATAAGCATATTAAGGCGTTTTGAAAAACAGTTGCAGCATATATTTATAGTAAAAAAGAAAATCTAGCCAAATAAACTTTTAATTCTCAAAAGAAAGTTTTAAAGTTTTATCTCTCTATTGGTTTTTTTCTTTTTTGCCTCCACAGCAGCACCTTCTTGAGTAGCAGGAAGTTTCTCATTAAGTTTTTTCTTTATTAAGTTCCAGACAACTTTTTTTTCAGACCAACTGCAGCTTATTAGGAATAATTACCTGAGCACATTAATAACATAAGTATCTCAATCATGACACATATGCAACAAGTTTTTTCTCCCAGTGATGTTTTTTTAATATTTTATGAAATTTCAGCTTTTTTAAAATCTTTTCATTTGTAAAAATGTATAATATTGTTACATATGTTTGTATACAATCTCAATAAAACTTCAAAAGTATTTTGTATTTTAAAATAATTGAAAAAAGTTATTAAAAACTAGTGGTAGGAATCAAACCACTGCTTTCTTGTTCAGAAGTTCGGTGAGCTATCCACTCGGCAACACTGGGGCATTGTTGAGCGAAGATTTTTAAAACTATTTAATAATTTTTTTAACAAAAAAAAAGGTTTAGATCAAAATTAAGAAGAACTTGGCGCAATCCAATTTTCAAATGAAAATCAAACTGTAAAACTATCAGTATGTTTTAACATGTTTTAACATAACTTAATTTAAAATTTATATATGTTAGATATTTGCATGTATGTATGTTTCTTATAAAACAAAGTGCTTTAAATCTCTCTAGCCACTACTTTGGTTGCAATGGCTTCCAAGGGTTCCGTGTCAAACAGGCTTGAAAGGGCACTATGTTATTAATTAAGTTCATAAAAAAGCTAAAGAGGAACCTCTTCAGTAAAACTTTTATCTTGGAAATCAAGAATCTTTTTCTCTTAAATCGTTATTTTTTAATTATAGTTGATGTTTTTATTTTAACAAAAAGATAATTATTATCTTATACTATACAATATATAAAAAAAAAATTGATTGAAATTAAGTATCATATATAATAGTTTTAACAATTTAAATGTAAATTTATAAAAACAAATAATTTTCATGGATTTGCTATAGATCAAAACAATAAAATGTTAAAGCTGTGTTTAAAAAGGTGTTGTAGTAACAAAAATTCTTTTTTTAGATTATTTGTTTTTTATCTATATTATATATTTATATCTTTTTAAAGGACACATTGATGCAAGATAAATACAATGGTGTTGCAGATGTTTTTATTAAAATTTATAGGTGGGTTTAATATTGCATTACATTTTGTATTTTGTAAAGAATTTTTTAACATATTTTTTTATGTAGAGCATATTTATAAAATAATAATATAAAACTTTTCATGAATACTTTAAATATATATTTAAAGTATTATTAAAAAAATAAATTCACTATAAATTAGAAGTACAAATTCACATTTTTCTTTAAATAAACTCTTGTGTTAATACTTGGGTACTTAGTGTTAATACCTAGGTACTTTGTTTTAATACCTGGGTACTTTTTGTTAATAACTGAGCAGCTTGTGTTAATACTTGGGTATCTTGTATTAAATAGCTGGGTACTATGTGTTTATACCTACAGGCCTTGTTATGAGATTTTTAAAATACCTCATTGTAATTAAATTTAAAACCACATTAAAAAATGTTGTAAGTCATTGAAATGAAAATTAAATGTAACAATATTGGTGTAAAAAAAAATATAAATAAAATTTAAATGTTGATAAATAAAAAATTTCCTTATTTTAAAATTTTTTACTTATTTGAACTTAATTTTTTTTTCTTTAAAACATTCGTTTTATGGTTGTTGTTTTTTAATGAGGGGACACTTGTTTATGGTTAATTTTCTTAAAGGTACTTATAACTACAAAATTAGATAGGGTTTTCCTCTTTATAAAAAATGTGTGAGCTACCTTAAGCATTTTTTTAGTAACTGGTTTTTGATAAAATAAAAATTGTAATTAAACAAAGATTGCCGCTTTTCTGCTTTTTTTTTTTTTTTTTTTTTTCATTGAAATATTTTATTTCTATGTACCATGAAACCTATTGTATTTTTTAACTAAATCCAAAAATTAAAATAGTATTTTCGTTCTTAAGTTGTTATTAGCTGGACCTGTTTATAATGAATATTAGTATAATTTTGAAATATATGTATCTTATATTTATAGCACTAGTATTAGTTTTGTTTTTAAAATAGAATAAATATAAGTTGGGGTTTTCAAGAATTTATTCATTGATCATGTTTTTTTTAATCGATTTAAAGTTTGGTTCGTTTTATAAAAAAAATAATGAAATTCTTCTACATAAAATTTAAGGGAAAACCCAAATATAACATTTATAAATCTACTTTTTGACGTCAATATTTTTAATTACAAAATTACAAAAATTGATGTTAAATTTATTAACTACAAAAGCGCATTAACTAGGCCAGTATTTGAAACTGGAACTTACCTTCAAGAAAAAAAAAGGCGTTTAAAATTAAAAAATTTTTTCCTAATATCTCGATAAATAATTTGTTCTGGAAAGTTTGATTAGCATGAAATTTATTTTTCAAGGATTTTTTATGACATATACACTCAACTTATCTAGGCACTTAGGGATCACATAAGGGTCAAAAAATAAATAAAAACTTGTCAACCTTTTTTAGGAAGGTGTGTAAAAATTTCAAATTGTTTAAATATCAGATTGTTATATATCGTTGGAAAGAATTTTAAAAAAATATTCTAAAACTGAAAATTTTATCAAAATCGGATGATTCTACAAAAAGCTATGAGAATTATTGTGACGAAATTTGATTACAAGGATTCCTTAACAAAAATGTGACCAATTTATAATGGTTTTGTAACTTAAACCGCTTAACATTGTCAAATATTATCTAAATGCATATAACTTGTTATCAAAAGATAGGTGTAACATTGGGCTACAAGCTTCTTTTGCTTTTAACACCTGTGTGTATTCAGGGGCTAGAGGGTTGACAAAAGAAAAATTCACATTTCTTCCAAAAAAGGTTGTTTTTTTATATATAAAACTAGTAATTTATCAGTTTAAGTTGTTATTTTTTTATTCCAGTCTGCAAGCAAATATTATAAATGTATTTTATGAAGAAGGTGGATGTGGTGGTAATGGTACACACCCTAGTATCGAAAGATTCATTGTAATAAATATTTTTATCATTATGAAAATGAATGAAAATAGTAAATAATAAAACTAATATATAAAATAATACATAATAAAAATTATATTTTATTAAATTATATATTAGTGACATAAATAAATTATAGGATGTGGGGCGTCACCCCCCCCCCTCCCCCATCTATCACAAAAAAAAAAAAAGTTTAAAAACAAAAATTGGCAGTATAAAAAGTGGTAGAGTATGCTCCTTCCAAATCTTAAAACTTTAAATTTAATGCTGCCTTTAAATGCTCTAAATGCTAAAAAAAAAAAAAAAAAAAAAAGAAAAGAAAATGTATACATATGTATAATAAATAAGAAACTTACATAATGCGATTGTTTATGTGAACTAATAATAACGCTAAATATAAAAAACAACAATAACATAAAAAATTATGTTTTATTTTATAACTTATTTCTTTACTTTTAGTAAATGATTAAAAACAGTTCGAGTCACCTTTAAGCAAGAAAATTAAGTTATATATATATAATATAGAGAAGAAAAATATGTTAAATTAAGGCTTCTGTTACTTTGTTAGATATTTTTTAAAGTAAATGGTTAATTTATCTTAACCGTCCTTGTAGCATAGTTTTTTAAGCTGTATAACAATGTTTGCTGCAATACAATCCCTGCCAAACAGTTTCCCTTTTAATGTTTCCAATGCTTTAAGTGAAGACTTATGCAAGCAGAGGTCATTGTATCCAATGGGTGAAGATGGCAGTTTAGTTTGTTTAACGATTTCTGCCACTAAGTATTTAACTTAGTGATAGTTGCATGGTTTGCTGCCACTCTGTCACTCATCATATTACTTATATTAGCAATATAAGTATATAAATTGCTAATATAAATATATTAGCAATTGTACTTCGTACTTCAATATATTGTTGCTTGTAAAAATTACTATACAACTTAGCAAGGTGATCTACAGACTGTGTAGTATGACTCTGATAATCATTAGCTGTACCCCAAGCAATTTGGTCAATAGCCACTACCATGCATCTTGTTTTGGTTTTAAAGTGCACAGCATTTACATGGCCACCATCTTGTGTAGTAGCATCAAAGCCCGAGGTCATATTTTTTGTTGCAATAGCTATTTTAGCAGTCTGCAGATCTGAACTACAAGCTCACGCATCATCTGCTCCACAGTTGTACAATGCGGAATTTCAGTTGTTGAACATTTATTTTAAAATTATACAAGTAAAACATGTCCTTTAAGACATACCTGATATGAAAAAGGTAGTTTAAGATACTCTGATTTCAGATGATTTAACATTAAACATTTCTTTGACATTTTAAAAACACTAGGTACAAGTGTAAAAATTTAATTATATTATTTAGAGCACTAAGCTGTAAATAAATAAATTATATTTATTTAATATAGAGAATAAATTAAATATAGTAAAGAATTCACAAAATTTTATTGTAACATGTTTAATAATATTGTTTACGCTGCACGCTGCATGTTTAACATGTTACCCTTCTTGACATGCTTAACATGTTACCCTTCTTGAAGGAGAGTTTTTGTAGACGTTCATAACTAATAGAATAACAAAGCAAATATAATATATAAATATTTATAATTTTATACAGTATATAATAATAAATGTAATTTATTTAATAAACTATTAAAATTAAATTAATTTTAATAGAATATAATTACTATTGCAATAGTCTAATAGTCTATATTTTGATTAATTATTTAATGAGTAAATAATGATGCAAATATTCGATCAAAATAATTTAATACTTTGAAAGAATAATCAAAAATACAACTAAAAATATAGCTAAAAAATTATATATCTTCAAAAGATTCAAAAAGTATTCTTTTTAAGAATCCACAAATGCCACAAGGTTGTTTATAAAAAAAATGCAAGTTAATAAATATGCATTTTGCACCAATCGGAGTTTCAAAAACTATCATGTGACTACAAGAAATGAAAAAATGCGAACGCAGCGTAACAAGGCAAGAAATCCAGCATTTCATAGAAATACCTAGAGTGCTTGGGGAAACCCAATACCAATGTGCGCTACACCTGATTAATATAAAAATTGTACCAATATTAGACAAATAAATGATCTACAATACCTAAAAGTTTCATAAAATACCTTTCATAATTTACAGAGATGTGATTCATAGAAAAAATGTGCCAACTTATGATGAAAAAATATATATGCTTTTTTTTTGTAAAGTAGTCTAAAAATTTATCAAAGTTTAGCCAAACCTTTTTCCTAACTACGTGCAAAATTTCAAAAAAATTGGTTAATAATTAGCGGTACAGTGTCGTTTGCCCTTATACGTGTCTTGACCAAATTACAAAAATCGGGTCACAGATTTTAGCTTGCGTTTTTACGGCAAATTAGGAATTTACGCACGTACCTACCTTTTTATTAACATTTTGGCTTTAACAAAATCTTCACATAGTTAATCATTTTTAATCAACGTTCAGTCTATAATCAATTCAAAAAATTAATATTAAAGAAAAAACTTTGTTAAAAAAAACTAAATTTAAAATAAAGTTATATGTAAGGCTGTCAACGGGTACTCTGGAAACCTGCCCGTTGGTTACTTTCTGGTGTGTATTATCAAATGACGGGTAACCATTTCAATTTAAAAATTATCATTTCTTTCTTTTTATCAATTATTGAAATAAAACAATTTAACAATATAAAAATTGATATGTAAAATAAGATCTTGAAGTAATAGTTCTGATTTCTTTATCACGGTTAGAATTTTTGAAAATTGAACAAAAGTATTCGGGAAGTTATTTGAGTTTCTGATTCGGAAACATACCTTTTGTTTTTCACTTTATATATGTTTTCTTTTACATAAATCAGAACTCCTCCAACTTGTTTATTAGTATGTCTCTACTAAAAATGGAGAGTAGAGTTATCTCGAAGGTCTTTCAAAGAAAACCGAGTTTCAGCAAAGCAAATTATATATAAAATGTCTTCAGTTTAAGGTATAGGGGAGAAAAGGTATAGGGGAGAGTGTGTATGATAGAGCCAGGTTTTGAAATAGCCAGGTTTTGAAATAGCCAGAGCTGATGCTATTTTATGTAACTTACTGGCACCTG